GCACAGGTTGTTACCATGACTCCACAAAACAGTGCTCCGACCGCGTAAAACGTTACGACAAACCAATCGCCAGCTTGGGCATATAGGGCAGTCATCACAACTTCGTTTCCGTTGTAGCAGACATCTTACCGCATGCGATACAGCCCACCTTGACCAACAGCAACGATCGTAATGTGACCATCACACTTTACACGGTGGTGCAGCCCACGTTAACCAGCAGCAGCGATTGCAGTGTAACCATCTCCCTCTGTAGGGTGAACTCACTTCCACAGTCCACAAAACTCTTGCCCAAAATGGGCATATTTGAATGCCATTCCAGTTGCGCCAAGGTAAGGTCTCGTAGGTCGGACGTATCGTACCGACAGAGTTGTGTAATCGTGCAGGCTCACCGGAAATAGCTTCGTTGGCGAAATATCCATCATCCATGCATCATGCAGTAACCTCGACGACTCTCGGCTGTCTACGAACATCATTTTTCGCACCTAAAGATGATCGTGAGCCCATGCAGTAAGCTGAGCTCACCAGCAAGTCGTAGTGCCCATGCTGAGTTCAGATCATGCAGACCATGCAATTTCACCAATTCACATTATGGATTTCCACCAGTTTGCAGAGCTTCTTCCATAGCGGCAGCGGCGGTGAGGGTTAGTGGTTTTTAGGGTACGCCTAACTCCAAAGTTGGACCCTGTATACTGTCTAAAAGTCAGCATTCCGCGTACAAACCAACCGTGACAGGGCTAAAACATACTGTAAAAAGGAGGGAGATACAGGGTATCGGGGGTAGCGAAGAAAAGGAAAGAGAGAAAGGCGTTGGAGTAGGAGGTACAATAGCGAACATTAAGGTCTCCACCCCGGTGCTATAACGGTTTCCTGCGACTCCAACCTGTGGGTGGAGGATGTGATTGAATCCAGACAGGTCTCTGGGAGGTCGTCTTCGCTATCAGACAGCAACAGGAGCAATGGTTTATCATGCTTAAGTTTGCCAACTTCCCAGATCCCTGTCTTCTTTCCCGTGGCAAATGACAACTGCTGTTGCGATAACTGACCTGGCCCCAGCGGTTGCATAGCATGGGTTTCGCACTCAAAGCTTTGGGGTTTAGGGGTTAGGGTTTAGGGTTTAGGGATTATTGGGATTTAGGGTTTAGGGATTATTACAAGTGGCTTATGAGGACAAAGGTGATTTCGGGCTTGCGAGTTGCTGTGAGCCGCTTTGTTGCCTTAGTGGTCGGAGTTCAAGATTCAAGGCCCGCGGCACTTCTCAAACTTGTGCACATTTCCCTGGTGATTCTAAGAACAAGTACTTCGACGGCCCTTCTGGAACATGCCTTCCCTCATTCTGTCTGGATCGTTCTTTTCGCCGATAATAGTCTTAATCATATAGCCACGGTGCTATTCATGTGTGTCTTTACTCCTGTGTTTCGTTTCGACGTAGTCGTTGGTCTCTCGATCTGTCTTGTTTCTCGTTTTCGAGATGCGTATGCACCTCGCTCTTTTGCACTCCGGCTTGTTGATGCATCTCTTTTTCTTGTTCTTGTTCTCCATCTGTGAGACTATTCGAAATCAGATGTCCTAAGCTGCCAGACTTCAACAAGGATGTGTGCTGTCCTGGCCTGGCAAACTTCGCTCCAAGCTTCTTGCGGAACGTTTGCCTCCGCTGCATTGCTGTGACATGAACGCCCTTGACATATCGCTAAGTTGCTGCATTGAGCAACATATCGCAACTGTTAAAAAAGTAGCAAAGACGAATACTCAACTTTCCACGTGCCGATTCCTGCCACCATAGCGCCTTTCGATCAGCGAATGCTGGCCAGAGCCCAATCAAATTTGCGCCTTGCTGAGAATCTCCTCCACTTTGGTGTGCCCCTGTGCCGACGCTGCACCCAAATGCCTGACAGAGATCCCGATTGTTCGGCTGCACGCTTCCGGTCCACACGTGCGGCCGAAGGAATCTCAGATGCGACCATGCCTTAGCATTTGTAAACTCTAGACGGAGTTTTGTCCTCGAGATTAGTTGTTCTTACATTGGGTTTGCGCTGCAAGGTGTGGCGTTAAACCTCTTGAGTCCGAAGCAAGAGCAGCACGGGGCTTGTTGACAGAACCCTAAACAAGTATAGCAACGATGGCATCACCATCCGAAGCCCCTACCATTACGGCTTGGGGCCAGCAAGCCGGCCTAAGCGCGGCCTCCACGTGGGCACTCACCAGCTGGGTCTTGGCACCTGCAGGCTCCACCTCCTGTGCGAAGGGTGCCTACGTTATCAGAGCAACTAACTTAACCTGAACAAGAAGCCAAGATCCTTTTGCAGCAAGAGCGACAGTTGAAAACAATGCTGACAGCAGCGATATCAAGACTAGTGATAGTGACCAGTGCAGACTAGGTCGGCGGCAACAGCAACGAAAGTTGCCGCGTCATGGATGCAGAGGCGACAGATAGCAACAAGTGTGATACGAGCATGAATGCCAGTCGCGAAAAAACCTCGTGTCAGACTCCCTACAACAACACGACACGCACGAAGAGATGCCATAGCGTATTTGCCAGTGTAAACATCAGCGAGCAGCAATAACAGATGCAAGCGCGACGAAAGGCGCAATACAGTCTTAATGCAGTAACAGTAACAGCGGTTTATGAATAACAACGGCAATGGTGATAGCACCATTTCATGGATAACTGTTTACATGGTGCTGAAGTAGGTACAGGCCTGACTCCCTCCACCATGATAAGAGACATGATGGCTGGATGCATCAACATGCCAAACACAAATCACAATAAGACTGAGAGCCTCATCCTCCTCAAGATCCTCCTCCTCGCCCTGCTCCTCGCCCATGAGGCGCTCGTTGCCTGCTATGCGACGGCCGGTTCCACATCGTCATAAAGCATTCTGGAGGTTGACTACTCCAGTCTGGCAATACAATGCACCGATTATGTAGCATCTTCGCTCCTGGCGGACGCTCACGCGATCATGCCGGGGTGGTGGGTAGTAATTACATGGAATCCAAAACTTGTCATGAATAAAGACCGTACTATAGTCCGCTTTGGCTCTAATTTTCTAGTCATTTTGCTTCCTTCGCAGAAGCACCTGCGAAGTACAGGAACTCGAGATTGGGAAGAAACTGTGTTGATGTAGGCGCTAGAAAAGTTCAGCCATAACAACCACAATTAGGGCGTCCTTTGCCCGTTGCGCCGAACTGCTAGTGTCCATGTGCGAGCATCACGAGGCACAGCTTCCGGCTTCTACAGAAGCTGAGCCTTGAGAGGAACCTCAAAACCGATAGGAAGCCGACCGACTCTCCACATCACAAATATCCCGATTTCCGTGCGGCTTTCGGTGTTCCAACCATGCATCCCCTCCTCCACAGGCAAACTCTTCGAACCCACCTCCTCAAAATTCCTGCAACACGTGACATCAGAAAAGGCTCCAAGATTCTCCATGGCCGGCTTGGGGTGATTCATCATGTGGTTTCGCCGCGAATTGTGCCCATAGTGGTGCCTTGTCACTGCGTCACCAGTTGCTCAAAAGCTTTTGCCTCAGGACATGTGTCCACCTGAATCAATCGATCTTTGTCTCTCACACACTGCTTCACAGCGAGACCCCCTATGTCCGTGCAACAATGCCGATATACTTGAAGCAGGAACTCTCGAAACTGTCAACTGGATCAATGCACCGGCGAATGTCTTTGTAGAATCTTCGATTCTAATGCCTAGAAGTACCAGCCGTACAACAAAAAGCTAACACTCGAAGGCACAAAATGGAGCGATATCTCGAGGTCTACTCCCCGTGCCCGAAGAGAACAAACATCTCTCGCATATTCCTGATTTGTTCAGCGATGTAAGGTTTAGTCTAGGGATCCGTGAGTAGACTCCTATAAGGCATGGAGTCAGGGGTTTTGGCCCGTGCTGTTATGAACCCTACAAAGATCGGAACTCTAATTAACTCTAATTACGCCTCAAAGGTTCGTCACCCGAACACCAAGTCCAGGCCACAATGTGGCTCCTTCCTCGTCCCCAGGTCGCGGAAGCAGTGCCAAGGCCTTGTTAAGGGAGTCTCGGCACTGGGAGTGCACACCATGGATCTGTGCAAAGAACGACTTTGTGGAGCTTCCGCAGTTCCAGAGCTCAAGTGGCTGTAGCAGTTGCAAAAGTAGCAAAACTTAGGCACCTTCAGCAGATGTGCTACCCCGAAGCACTGGGCACCTTGGCCACTATTGCGACTGCTGGCTAAATTAACTAAGCCCGGGATTTCAGGATTTTGCAAGGGACTACGAAGGACTGCAGAAGTCCTGATGCATGCTGGGGGGTGCTTGTTGTAGCAAGTCCTGCTTATCATGAGACTAACCACAACCCGCAGGTCATGTTGGTTCCGTTGTTTGTAAACACGGTGTGATTGGAATCGCTACAAGTACCGGTTGTCTGCGCGACTTCAAAAGGCTGGGCTCCGGCACCACTCGGCAATACACAAAACAGATCTTCGTCGCACGGACTGGGCATACATATCCCTAAACCCTGAACGCACGTCCCAAGCACCGAGCCATTGAACTTGTGGTACATCAAATCGAAACGTTAGTGCAAAGCAATCTGAGCTTTCTAGTCAAGGTGCCGTGGGCTCCAAGCGCACCATGCTCCCCGGCGTGATTATGGCTACCTCCGTTGCCTGCCAGCGCAGCAAGATCCAAATTGCAGATCCCTGTCGACCCGATCAGCACGGCTACAACCAGGTCCAGAAGCAACCGTCTAAACCGAGATATAGCTGGCATAGCATACAGCTATGGACCGACGTGGAAAGTCAGGTCCGCACAGATGGGCCTGGCTTTGCGGCGGCATGCGATGTTTCACAAACCTCGGGACGGAGCAAATACGGAAAATGTGTGTGTGTATATATATATATATATATATATATGTGTGTGTGTGTGTGTGTCTACTGCCCGATGGTACAATCGGAGCAAGTCGCTCTGCACCGAGCTCTGCCAGTGCAGACGCCACCGGCCCAGGTGATGTCGGCGGTGAGGCCGCTTCAGCCTCCACCTTACGACTAGAGCTATACGGGTTTAGGGTTTAGGGTGCCGTTTTGATCGGCCCTCTGCGGTCTACAAATGTCCAAAGTCTGAAGGGGTGTCGGTTCTGGTTTGAGGGTGCTTGGGGTTCAGGTATTCGTGCAGGGATGGATGGGTCCGCGCCTTCGGGTTGAGGGCCGAAAAGGGCTTGGGGTTTAAGGTGCTATCAAGAATTAAGGCGTCAGTGCTTCTTTTCTCTGGCTTCAAGCTATCCTGACGGTTGATGTTTGTCTCAGCGTTTCGGGCTTCGGTCGTTTCTCAGGGTAGCCGGATGGCCATGGTCTTGTCCTGTTTGTCGGAGGCTCATAGTCATGAAACCGAGCCTCTTTGCGTTGGTGATAGCTTTGCCCACAAGTTTTGGGGTATTGTTCCCCCTTGCAGCTGGCAGTCAGGTCTTTGGAGGACATTCCTTAATCCCGAAAAAGCGCAGAAGCCCGATAACATATAAGCCTGGTCCGGGAGCAACTGTTCTCTCCTTACGCACGGTTTAAGACCTGTGATGTCTTCTGCTGCACTTACTCGGGTTGTAAAAAGTACAGTATCTTGGTTGAACCAACAGCCAAGCCCAAAGGCCTGTAATCTTCACGCTAGCACGAACCTAGATACACGGTGTTGGCGGTGTTCGCACTGGACACGGGAACCGCACCCTAAACCTTCAAACCTACAAAGCGTAAACACTGTAGCGAAACCAGCAAGGCGGCCATGTCTGCAAGAGCTCGCAGCTGTGAGGCCACTGAGGACCTGTTCCAAACAGGTCGGGTCTAGGGCACTTCGGGCTACAAGTGATTACAGTTCCGAAGATCTGTGGTGTACGTCTGCCAGACCTTTACTCATCTTCCACATTGTCCGGAACATACTAGACGTCCGTGTGCCTTTATTTTAGATTATTGGCCCTGCGATTTGAAACTCTTTTCTGGCTCTGTGCAGAGAAAACCCGTCGAGACAGAACTCGCCCAGGTCTGCGTCGGAATGTGGAACACCCAAAGCAGCAGTCGACACTACACCTCGTTCCAAAAGCTTCGCTCCCTCTAGCTCAGGGAAGTCTGATAGGACAATGGCCGGAAGCATCTCTGCTAAGGCTCTGTTTACCAACGTCCCTTCAAGGTTCAGGTTCGGGTTGAGGGCATGCAAAGCCTAAGAAGCCCTTGAAACAGCGGGCCCCGTCCGACCCTCCACGTATCCCTGGCTTCGACTCTCACACTCGCACCAGCGGGCAGGATAAGCTTGCAAGGTCTCCACAAGGGGTATAAGGCGCAGGCTTCTACGGCTCCAGCTCTCGCCCCCGAGTCGGTTGGTGTGCTATGAAGGCACGACCTATACTAGATATGTCCATGCTCTAAATGCAGGATGTCATCGTGCGCAAACCTCAAGCCCTGAAGCCTGACGACTTGTTGCTTCGGTAACTTGGGGTCTGCAAAGCTGCTATGCCTTGGGGCTTAAAGCCCTGACCTACAGTAACGCAGTTTCCGGCTTCACCCGGATCAGTCTATGACAAGTACAACAGCTTACTGTAAGCCGTTACTGTAATCGTTCCAGATCGCATCCGAAAGGCTCCACAGGCCGAGAAAGCCAGAATACAAACTCTCCTGGCAAATGCCTCCCTCGAAACTACTTGTATTCACAGGTCCAGGAGAATGTGTAGCACAGGCCAGCGAATCTGAGTAACTAGACCAGGAGTTCCGGCGGCATGCAAGATGCTTGCTTGAAGGAAATGAGGGGAACCGCCTATCACATTTTTGAGGCTCGCTATACTCAGCCCCAAAATCCAATCCCCATCCCCAAGCCTCAGAGATCCTAGCTCGGACCATGCGCCCGTGGCCAGCGCCGGCCAGGGAAGCGCGCGACGGAGAAGGGCTTCCTGGGACGAGCGCATCTAAGTCGAAGCCTTCATCGGATTTGAGCTGATGCGGGGGAGTGCGGATCTTTCCAGGGGTTCTGCCAAGCAGTGTGATTCGAGGCCTATGACAATAGTGAGGTTTCAGGCCTGCTTACCCTGTGGCTTAAGCTGCGATGTCAAGGTTTCAGGCCAAACCTTTAACGGTACTGTAGCTTACCTATAGGGTTTGGGATCACCGCTTTCGCCAAGAGTCGTCCTCCCACAGCTCTGACATCGCCTTTCACTCTCAATGTCTTCAAGGCAGAGGGCAGAGGGCCATTCACCCTAAGCTTCACACAAGCCTAATCAAGCACTGGGTGCAAATTTCTCCGGCGGCTATTCAAACTGGCGTGAACAGCGACAAAACTGAACATGTTGTCATGTGAAAACAGGCGTGGGAATACCCATATGGAAACTAAAGAAGGCAGGGACTCTCAGGAAACCATGTGCACCAAGCTCCAACAAATCCAAAGAAGAGCACCTCTTCGAAAGTCTTCTGCACGAGGTCGTACCTTCAGACTCAGCTGCAGGATGCAGGTATCGAGCCATGAAGGGTTGTTTCTAGAAGAGGCTTGATTCAGAGTTTCGGGCCTCAATGCTTCGGACTTCGATTCTGAGCTTCGTCACTGAACAAGTTCAGACTCCTATCGCTGACCAGCACCGCCCTTTCAAAAACTGAACGCAGCAGTGCAGTGCAGAGCCGAATGTGGCCGAAAGACCCTAACTAAAAACGGAATTCACACAGAAGGTGCAAAGACTGCCGCTGGAAAGCGGAGACGGTGAGGTGCACCGAGGCCTCCGTCGAGTCCTGCAGGTGTACTTGTCACTTCTCCGCACATTGGACCTCTTGCTGCAGGAACACATCTGACATGTAGGCTTGTAGGCAAGAAAAAAGGTTGGGGTTGGGGGTTGAACGAAACCGGCCTATGCAGACTGCCATACGAACAGGCACATGTCCGGCAGCACGTGCATGCAGAAGTACATGCAAGCACATTGCAGATTCACAAACAAAAGCTGCTGGACTGAAACATACACATCGGCATACACGTTGGCATGTGTACATTCGCGGATGCATACGTTCGCTGTCTCTCTCTCTCTCTCACACTCACACAAACAGCGACACACCACACATCACTGACACATGCAGCAAACATGTTGAGGCTTACGCACGCACATCTGTACAGTATCCAGCTGCAGCTGCCAAGACTTATGTTCATTCTAGGCAGTGCCCCGCACCCTCCACCAGTATCTGTCTGTGGCCTTGTTGGGGGCATAGTGGATGGTCCCCCGTGGGAAGTACAACCTTCGCAGTGCTGATGTCTTCCGGGAAATAGTTTTCTATTGTGCTCGGGAGTTCAGGATCCTTCGGCCAGAATTCCAATTCTTCGGCGGGGCATGTTCGTGAACAAGAGGCCCATGTGAGAAGACGGCAGCAACCCGGCTCATGTTGGATTGGGTCTCGTGCCGGGGGTGTTGCAAGCACAGGGCAGATGCATGTCGGACCTTAGGAACAAGTTTCCAAGGATATGAGCATTCCACAAAGCCGCGGACTCAAATGGATCAGCGAACAAGGCTGTGCTCTGCATGTTGCCCTACATTAAGGCTTCACTTTGATCCACTGTGAGCAGAAAAAATCTGAAGCCTGCCATATCCGTGCAATCACCGCATCAAACGTGAAAAATCATGAAACACTACGACCTACCTATTATAGACACTCCGTGGTAGCCATTTTCTGGCGCTCAGTCGGAAGACTAAGTACATGATGTCAGGGTGTAGTAATGCCAAACTAGACCCTATCTTAACACCCTCTAACGCCATGCCAGCCGAGTGCGAGTGTGTTAGTCGAAACGCTACTGCAGTAAGACCGTGGAGCGTCAACTTTGGCTTTGGAGGGTTCTGGGCTTGGGCTACACTTGTTTGCAGATGAGGAACTTCATGCTGACCAGCTTGAGGCACGCCACAAATACTCGTTCGTGAGTTTGTAACATAGGACCATCCAACAACGGTACTTAGGATCCTACGATGGATCCTACAATTTTGGCGAATCTATGGGGACCCCAGCCGTTTTGTGTTATGTTGTGCCGAAGCGGCAAATCACCAGCCGACAATTTCGGAGAAAGTAGTGGCGGTGACAAGGACCTGGGCTTCAAGACCCATTAACACCACCTGAGTTTGAAACAGGGCAACATGGATCGCTGTTCTTCTGGTTCATAGTTGGAGCACCGCTGGATGTGCAGCTGGTGGTAGGTCAATTGATCCCCTGGTTCATACTACAAAACCACTTGGTATGAAATCGCGGTGAGTTGCGTCCTCGTAACAACGAATCCAAACCCCAAGTTCACACCTAGCCTCCTCAGACTCCGAAGCAGGAACCGACTGATCGATTGGACATAAATTAACATCAGGAGCCCCCTCTCTCTCCCGCTCTCCGTTATCTCTCGACCCCGAACAAACCAACTGACCTCTATAGGCCATAACTGCTGCAAGCCCAAGCTGCGCTAGGTCGATGTCGCCGCTGCTGAATCCTCGGGAACCACAATGAAAAACATTATGCAGGAATGTGTTTCATACTTCCTTGGAGTTAATCTATAAGAGCACTAAAGTTTCGCTGGATCAGGGCTTATGCTTACGCGAGGCCTGGACTGAACATCGGACTGAGATTTTTTGACTTATGGTTTAAGGGTCTTCAAACTTTGGGAGTGCAACCTGTGGAGTTTGGTTCCAAGGAGTCTCGGACACACAGAGCTGACATCCGAAACCTGTTGATTTTTGCTTTTGGAAGAAAGGAGAACTTGCAGCTCCAACAAACAGCCCGCGGATGATGTCCCCGCTGTGTCCGGGCGGCCTTTCCAAACCAAACACCTTCAAATACGAGAACTTTGACTTTGGCGCCGAGGCTTCCAGATTCCCCGGCCACCTATGTCCGAACCTCCGTTGACTCCACGAATCAGAAACCCTTCTCCATCAGGTTTGCTGACAAATGCCCGCCCTGCCTCCCAAGCCTGCAGGTGGTTGTGTGGCCAAAGGCCCTGAATATCAGCGACTCCAGTCAAGTCAACACCGCCTGTCTCTTCGCCATGTAACGTGGGAGTGTCGGGGAGGGCGCTGCGCTGGAGGAGGCGTGGAGCGTCCAGGCTTTCTTTCCACCCAACCTGGAGTCTCAACACGACAATACTAGACTGTACTATACTATGCTTCACTATACTGTACTGTACTGTACTGTACTGTACTGTACTGTACTGTACTGTACTGTACTATGTATACTACACACACACATATATATATATATATATATGTATATACTACACTATAGTTTATTATGCTACATACCTCATACTGTATACTATACTAGACTATGCTATACCATACAGTACTACATACTGTACTATACTTTGCTAAAACATGGATATAACAGCATACTCATTGACGTCATCGTTCGTCGCCGACGTGAAGGGAAACCGAAACGTATAGAAGGATGCGGAGTCGTTTCTCAAAACTACGAAGTGGAACTGTCGAGAGCACACATGGCTTCGCGCTGTTCAGAAGCCGAGCATAAGTCCCGGCGGTTTGACAGTCTCTCCTCGAACTCCTCCGAGCAGCTGAAGGACGAAGACCTCCACATCATCCCAATGAGGCGCTAAGCCTTCAAGACGGCAGCGAACCAAAATCGAATACGTGTTCAGGCATAAAATGCGGTGTAGCACCCTTGACCAGGCCCTTCTTCTACAAAAAGGCTGCGACTCGCGGAGTCAAGCTACACTATTGTACCCTGCAGCACCATGTTCGGCTTCACATGTGCAGACGTCTTCGTGGCCGATTTTGCAACTGAGTTGCTAATGAAGAGTCTCGTATTAATTGGAATAGGGTGCCTAGGGTGCTGGTGTATGCTGTATGCTATGTAGTCCTTATATATACATAATTAAGTATACAGGCACTATCACTATCCAGGAGATGATGTAACTCATCACCCAGTACATCATTTCGACGGCTCCCACCTTGTGTGCCAGGTGGTGTGAGGTACGCATTGACCCCGACAAGGCAGCCAAACTCGGTCTCCAGAGCTACCACCAGCGACGCCAGCGCATCGTGCTCCTCCGCCAAGAGCACCAAGGATGAGTGGCCTACCTTTCCTGCAGCATCTGTTTAATCACCTTGCAAGGCTTTCCCTTTCGACCTTCAGGCACGCTCCAACGCTTAGCCTGCAGCCCTTTGGATTTCAGGTGGCTTCTAGGGATTCTAGGGTCCGACGAAGCCTGGACAGGTGCACAGAAGCATTAAGGAATGTACCCTATATAGTGGGATCCTTAATTAATTATATGATATAGGGTATATATATATCCCTAAACACCCCCAACATCCGAGACTTTGGATCTCGGGTCTCAGTCTCCTGCTGTGGCTGCAGCCACTGGATGCTCCAGCCTGACGGCACCAAGCAAGGAACCCAGATCCAAAATCCGAAGTTAGCAGCCACAGCCATCCACAACCGATGAAACTCGAGTTCCTCCTTAATAGTAACGCAACGTAACGCACATAAGATCCCTTATAGTCAACCTGAAACCTCTATATTTCAACCAAACGCCGAAGCCCCTGGCGGCTCGTGCGCAGCTCGACTGACTCGACTCGACAGCAGAACTCTTCAGGAAAGAGGCCTCTTAAACCCTTAAAGCCAAATCCGTAATCCCTGAACCCTCACAGCCCGACCCCTGACACCCAAATCCTTCAAGCCCTCGAAGCCCTAGGCCCTAAACCTTTGCAAACAAAAAAAGAAGGGAACTCTGGGAGCAGCTCGGCGCCTTCTGCAAAGAGCCGCCGCACATCCGCAGCTGAGGTCGGCGGTGGGTTCGGAGTCTCCTATCGAATCACATGAAATGTCTGAGCAAGTTCGGATGCTATTTACACGTGGATCCTGCCTATTGAGGTTCTGTACAAAGGATCCTGTATAAGGTCTGGAAACGCCTACAGGGATTGAAGCGTTTAGCCTTTCCCAAGCTTCATTTTTCTGAGATGCATCCGGAACTGCATGGGATGCTTCATGTCAAGAACAAGGCCCTGAGGCGTAAGACTTTGAGGCAGCAGGTTGAAACCAAGAGCTTTATGGCAGCTGGGGTCTAACGATCTTCCTCCGTTGTGCTAAAGGAAGAGGGTAGAACATAACAGGACATATTTTGGGGACTAATTACAGGGAACGTTCAGCAGACCCGTTTATCACATGCCACTTGGCCTACATTTCTGATACCGCGCCTTTTGGTAGTAGGCTTCCCATAAGGGCCAAAAAGCCAAAACCGAGGAAGGTGAAGCCTTCAGCAAGAAGTGACGGGCTCGTGTCTGACATGCTGCAGAGCCATGAGATCTTCCACCCGATGCATACCATAAAGAGCTCTCCACCTCCATCCGGCTTGAGAGTGCTGGTGGTGTCAGGTTGTGGGATAACGGGTACAAGGAAAACACATCGGCAGCATATAATGCAACGCCGGCTGCAACTGGCTCAGTCCTTGTTGCTGCCGTCTTTGCAGCGAAACATGTTGACTCGGTACACGGGCACGGCCCCCTCCTCCATAAGCTTGAAGAGCCTGCACCAAGTGCCCCTTGGAGCTGGAAGCTACAGGACGAAATGTCGGGAATGTGCCCGCATCCACCGTCTTTGGGGGTATGTCGTACTAGAATTTTAGTAGGGGGTATGCGGCAATAGTATCAGTAACCATCATAGGCTTTTGTATTTGGTTTGGCTCGGATCTCCGGCCTTACAAATGGCAAACACGGAGATTCCAAAGACTGTGCGCTGAGCCTCGGCGAGTCTGTTAATTATTCTATGTTCATGATTATATTGATACTATTCTTCTCCTATGTATTTCTGACGTGTCCCCTATGCTTGCCTCATCTTCTCTTGATTGTCCAATTCTCCTAAGATAAAAAAGCTGGAATGGGCAACCATTGATGTTCTGTGTTTTCCGGAATTTCGTGTTGCAATGTTCCTAGGTAGCCTGGTTTTCAAGATCATAACTATTGCTCCTTGCTCGGTGTAGTAGGTGGCTCCCTATGTTTATCCTGCTTTCCCCGTGTTTCGTTTGTATGGTTTTCTAATTGTCACCCCTCTTTCTCTCGTAGCTGTTTCACATTGTGTTGAACATTAATTAGCTTTGTTATGTGTCCTCATGTCAGCTGTCAGATTTGACTTGAGTGAGAACAGGATATGGACATAATTCCATGACACAGCCAGCCCAAATAGTCTCGTGCCAGCAATCTCTACGACTTCATGCGAAAGCCGTGTGCCGAATCATGAAATGCGACTCTCAACCACAAAACGCGACCGTTGAACAACCTGGACGAAGTCATTCCGCCTTTCTGGAGTTGAGACACCGTCGAGTTGCGCATAGTACTTGTTGCTCCTGAGATTCTCACAAGCGGCGTCTGCTAGAGAAAGGGGATTGATTTGTGAAGGCTGCAGGGCTTCACAAGAATGTAGGTTCGGATAAGATACACGCAACACAGGTGTTTGGCCAGGATTCTGGTGCTGAGCTGAAACATTCTGCTTGATGCAACAGAACGTTTAAAAATAGGATGCTAGGACTTCTGGTGCACCGATTCGGCGGGACCCAGGTGGAAAGGCCCGACCGGATTGCATCCGAGGCGCCTTTTGGGACCACACGAGATGTCGATACCACAGAGCTATATAAACTGAGGGTCCGGGTTCTGGGGGCGACAATGCAAGCATCTGCAAGCAGATGGAGGAGCACTGTGGGAGCAGCAAGCATAGAGCAGCAAGCACACGACTTTGTGCGATGTGCACGGCTATTGATTTCATGCCTCGCAAAGAGGCGATCCGGAACCAACAGATAAAGATCTTCTGCACTGTGGGTGTGCCGTCTTCCTGGAGCACCAGGCTGTACAGTACAAGTAGGCCTCAGCATGAAAATCCGCAAGCGCTCTTTACAACGGTACACTGCGCTGTTCAAGGCTCTTGAAAAGACTGGGCCAGGCGCATCGCATGTTCTCAAGCCCTGAGGAGCTCAAAGCCCGTCGTGCACGCGTGGTAGACGGGTGTAGGGATGTTAACGTATCGGGTCTTGAGTTGCAAGGCCAGGAAGAGCGAGTAGATGCGATTTTGCAAAAGATTGCCGCCGTGCAGCCAGAGACCTTCCACGTTGGTTCTCTTCCACATGCTCCGCAGCTCTCCCTCCCAATGTCCTTCATCCCCAGCAATGCCCGTACTCAAACCCCATTTTAAATTTTCTTGTTTGGCGTGCAGCCGTATCTTTCCCCGATTCTAGCTCCGTCTGTGCCACGGGACGCCAGGGACGCGGGGGACGCCCTCTGCAGCGGAGAGCGTGTCGCAGAAGGATGTATTATGCTTTCCCCAGCAGCTCTGCGATGAGCTTCGACAGCTGCGTAGCCCGTTGCAAAGATTGTACCGTGTCGGTGCTGATCCGTCCTACCCTGCAAAATAAACAGCTTTAACTCTAATCCATCCAAGACCAGCCCCCAAACTGCAACATCCCACTCCCCTGGAAACCTGAACTTTCCCCTGCACCCTCCTGGAAAATATCATTGCAGAGGCTCCCGGCACGCTGAATGTGTAGCGGCCTCTGCTCAAAGAAGCTTTGCCGAAACTCATCGACACCAATGGCATTGCCAAGAAGAGAAGACAAACCTCAGCGGCAACCAAATGGCAGGCAATGATCACAACCTACATCAGCACTTACGTCATTGTCATTGATGTCATTAGCAAAATCAGCACCACCCACAAGAACGTCAGCATTAATATCCTGATCCTCTTGATAACGGTCAATATCATCATCCTCACAAGCACGGACATGATGATTGCCCGCGGCACGATCAATGTCACCATCACATGTATGTCATCACCTTCTTCTTCACCACCATCATCACGATCACCATCACCCGCCATCATCATCAACAACAGTAACATCGTCATCGTGATCGCCATCGTCATCATCACCACCATCATGACCATCATAGTTGTCATCACCCTCAGCCAGCACACCTCATCCTGGCTTTTAAGCTTCTCCCGTCCCCATTGTCGAAGCTGTTGCTGGCTCACCAGACGTGCGTTCATGCCCGATTACGTACACACCATCCGCACTTTTTGAGGCAGATGATGCGTTGCACTAGGCTGGGACATGCCAAAACATCTTGCTGAGTTGGGCGACTTCAGATGTGCGGCTTTTTGTATTGGGAATCACATCTCCTGAGGCCGACAAAGAAAATCAACACGCTCCCTGTCCTGAGGATATCAAACCTCAATCATGAGCCAAGAGTCCCGCGTCGAAACTCGTGTGCGACTTGCTGCATGTCCTGACGGCTTGGTGCCCAATCGACTACTAAGTCAGGATCTTTACGAAATTCTGCCATCTGGAACTTGCCACTGCTTCTTGCGGTACATTCTGGCCGCCGCTCTGACTCGAGATTCAAGGCTGCTCGGGGCGCGAGGCCTTGCATGCACCTTTAGGACTAGACGTCAAAAGCTTCATAGAGCGCATCGATATGGCCCTTAACCCAAAGCGTCAACCCACGCGTTAAGAAGGCCCGAAGAGTCGAGAGGCCGGGTGCCATCGGCAGGTGCCGGATTGCTTCGCTGTCGACACTTCTTCCCCCGCTTTCCGGCCATGGCTCTATCTTCCAAGGGGTCAGGGTTTAGGGTTTAAGGGGGGTGTAGGCGTCTTCCTAATCAGAGCAGGGCTTTGGGGTATGCTTTCGCGTAGGTATATGGGGAATTTAGGGTCTGCACCTCTTCTGGTTAGGGGCACCTTGCGTCTAAGCGATAGTAGAGTAACCTGGGTCTGGGAGCGGCGGTATTCTAAGGAGGTCGGCATAGATCTATCCGACCAACATGGTTCCGGGACTGCGGTTATTGCTGATGCCGGTGCTGGTGGTCGTGATGGTGGCAGCTGCTGCGGCAGTAGTAATCGCTACGGTCATGCTCGACCACCACACCATCACCGAACTGGCTCGGAGTTGCAATCCTGTCCAGATGACTCACATCTGGTTGTTTGGTAACAGTTCATCACGTGACAGATAACGCCAAGACCACTACTCGTTTGATTCTCGTCATCTGCTGAAAGCCTAACGGTCTAACGGCTCAGAACGGGGTCTCAGAGATGCAGTTGAGCCGCGCTGGACACGGGTCATGTGCTACCCGCTCGCAACTTTCCTAGTGCACCGGCGGCACGATCAGGAAAACATGAAACTGCAATCCCGATCTACCAACTTCTCCAAAAATACTACGAGTACCATGTCACGCTGGGGCTCTTGCAAAAGTGCGCGAAGCTCGGCAATCTGAGCAACGTGAAGCTCGTGACGTTTGACCGTAGGCGAGAGGCTTTCGTGCTTCCGTACATAAGCTTCTCGTCCAAGCCTGTACAACGAAGACAGCCGAACGACCGAGACGTAGACTGCGTCGAAGTCATGCGCATTATCCTGCAGATGGTAGATGAAAGTAGTCGTCCTCCTCCTCGTCGTCGTCGTGCTAGTGCCATCTACTGCAACGACTACCTCGAATATTACTGCTACAAAAATATCGGAAGAAAAGGGACAGAAATGGATATGTAGATGTCAGTAGAAACAATGGTAGCACGAAGTGGCGCGATGGTCGGAGCAGTCGTAAAATCAGAAGCCGCAGCAGCAGCAGAAGCAACAGCAGTTTTCGTCGTCGTCGCCGTTGTTCTGGCGGTGATGGTGGTGGTGCCCCTGGTAGTGGTGGTGGCGGTGTTATGCTGCTAGTTGTACTTGCGCTATGCATGCGACTCACACTACATGTCATGAATTGCCAATGAATGGCGAGGATTTCGAGGTTTCTCCACTTTTCATGTGATATCTAGCAGATGATACCGACAACAGGATCGCAGCAAGCTTTACATCCGTGATGCAAAGGTAGTGGCAAGAGCTCGCAGCTAAGGCCCGTGCTGAAATGTTTCCAGAACCGTCCTCCAAGCATGCGGCATCAATTTGCGACAAGCGAGAACTGTCTCCCATGCAAGACGGATGCTGCAGGCGAGTCTTGACAGCACTGCCAGCTTCTGCTTTTATCAAGCTCGTCATACGGACGGTCGAACTCCTTGTTACCAGGATCCATGAATCTGAAGGCGATGCCCTAGCTTTGAGCAGACCCCATGTACCTCAAACCTGACAGCTGAGGCAACCATCCCGCGTGCTGCATTTGGAACCTGGTCGTACTTTTTGAATATCCGCTCTTGCTCTGCACGCTCAAACTCCTCAGTCCCAAGCAGCCTCTCTTCGGCAGCTTTGGCACATGCTCAACAACGGGACGGCTTGACAGTCGACATGCCAAGACAACGACCGACCAGGACCTGACCAAAGCACTGCAAGACTCTTCTTGTTTGCGGGAGCTCACAACGTGTCGAATCAGCATCAGCATGCAGCCAGTTTTTTTGGGCTCAGCAAATACACCCGTGGATCGAGGTCTGGACTCATCATCGACTCAGTGCCTGGCATCATAGTGAGTCATGAACTGGAGGAACTCGTCGAAGTCCATGTAGTCGTACATTGTGATCTGGCACAGAAGGCTTCTCGAAACCCTGTGTAGCTCTTAGCGGTCCATGTATCGCCCGCCTGGAGGTATAAGACAAGGTGGATTCTGCTATATTGTCGTATATCATAGTATGTTATAAAAGTGAAGTTTGCCGTTGCATCTTATAGACGTGGCGATAGCTTCTTCCAGGCCATGAAGCCAAAGGCCCTCTGAAAAGCCTGACACCCAACGGTTCCGCCTAGGTTTGGGCATCCAAGTGGAACGAGATCACATTCCCAAAAGCAGGCGTCGAATGTGGCACTGATGAAAACTGACACTTAACTCCAGCTTTGTCTTCAGAAGTACCCTGAAATGGTGATGGCCTGACTTGCTGTTCCTGCTCGCTCTCGTAAACGAGGGCGGCATCAAGCCGCTGTGTTGGGTTAACTGCCCTTTGAAACACTTGGGGGGAGCATTTTTGGAACATGGTTGCACGTGGCACGGACCTGGTGGTTATAAAACTGGGCAGCCACTCAGGACAGTCAGTTTGCTAGCGTGCACTGACCCGGACAGCCTTCCTTGCCATCTCGGTGATCGCTTCCTGCACCAGCCAACTCACAGGCAGCGAAACCTACGACCAGTACGAGTTGAAATTAAATCGTCCTCCCCGGAACAAACAAACCAAATGGGGACGAACCCACAACAACAAGAAGAAAGCCGACCTGGTGGATGTCGGGTGCAAGTCTTCGCTGCAGCGAGGCTTTTAGGGCATGCACTAGTGTGTACTTCCCAAGCTGTATATGCTAAACAAACTTCCGCATTCTCTTCTTGCGCAGCAACAGCAGCAACAAACAAAATGACCAATGCAACAAATCCTAAGGGTCCATGTGCCCGAATAGCATATACTTTGGCCTTACAGTAGTCGCTACTTAGGTACTGTAGGGCCAAAGTATATGCTAGTTGAGCGCATGTGCCCTTAGCAGAAATCGTTGGGAGCCCCTAAACCCTAAACCCTAAACCCTAAACCCCTAAACCCTAAACCCTAAACCCTAAACCCTAGCTTCTGTTGTGGGGTTTCGGCTCCCTCCGGCGTATCGCCTCCGGGGGGACCCAGCGGCCAATGAAGTTCAGCAGCGCGTCCAGATCATCCTTCAAAGGCTTTTTAGGGTTTAGGGTTTAGTGTCTTGAACCAATAAACATGTTTTGGGCGGAGGGGAGGTTAAAATGTTTTTGGTTTTAGTCATGTCCAAAGTCTCAAACACACAACTGCCAACATCTGACAGGGACTAGTAACGGAGAGAGTTGAAGGCACAGCGATGCATCGCATGCGGACTTTCTCATGTCTTGCATGCCAGACGTCCGGCCTTGTGGATGTCTGCGGATGCAGGCACCTGTCAGGTTCTGATCTTCACGGAGGATTGCGCGACTGGATTCGACGTTTCCGGCTTTTATAACTCCCCCAACGGGTCCAAGTACTAATATGGTAGCTACTTCGTAGGTATTTGGACACCCAAAGTATATACTATACTATAACTTGGACCCTGTGGGTCCAAGCATAAGTAATAAGCGTTGAGATTGCAGGGCTGGGCCTTTCTGATTCCCTCTGTGCCAACTAACTTCAACATCTTGCGGCACTTGGTATTCAGTCGCCAAGAGTTATTTCTTTCCGGCACTTTTTGAAGATTATTTTTCAAGAGGCTGTTGTATTACGCATACCGATGGTCTACAAGCTGCGGAAAGTGGCATCAGCGTCTGCGCTATCCGGAACTTGCAATTGACGATGGCTGAAGGGCTAGCTAGTCCCCGCGTCAGCTCGTCTCGATATGTGAGAGTGCTACATTGGAGACAACAGTGTTGCCTTTGAGCACTCCAAGGTTGATATAAGCCAGCAAGCTCCCATGAACAATCCGTCACGAGCTCCAGTCAAAGGAGTGAATTGAAGAACACATCCGGACCTACCGGCCACGCAAGAGGTTGGGTCATGCAGTTCTGTCTTTCACACCGGGGCAAGCGCAAGCCGAGCAATCCCTGGCCTTGAACCGGAGGAAGGAGGCATGGAGGTCTTCTTTCTGCGCAGGGGCGCTTGATAAGTGCAGGGAGAAGGAGGACCGGGAAGACAAACAACAACATAAGTACGTTCTACAAGCTGGCATGGCTAACGAGCGATGCGGGAGCAACAATTATAGGATTATCCCTGGTCGAGGCGAAACGTTTGCCTGTCACATCTCACGGAAGTGCGCGAGGTACCTCTGCTTCGTCAAACCCATTGGACTCTCCGCGAACTCGTGCGAGCGTCCGCCTCAACCTGGAGCGAAAAGCACATCCATAAGTTTGTAGATCCAGAGTCTGGATTGCTTTGTCAATATTCTCATACTCGATATTGACGTTGGTACTTCGTTGTCGTTTGTTTTCATATGGGCCGTTGTTGTTGTGGTCGCTCGTGGTCGTCGCCGTCCGAATGCATGATCATGCACCCTGTCTCTGGTAATTAATGAATCGATCCTGATTTAGTTTTCCTCACGGAAGCTTCAAATGAGCTCTGGAAGGTTGCCAAGTGCTTGAACACACACACACACAAACACACTGAGGCGTGCACATCAGCGCAATGCGCGGGTCCTGCGTGCAGGCCGGGATTCAGTGCACGCAGTGCTGCAGGGCGAAATTATGGGTGCTTGATTTTCCTGTGATGAATAGCACAAGGAGCCCACAGGAAAGCTCGCAACCTAATTATGATCTGGAGGTCCTTCAAGCAGGAATACATTCCGTAACCAACCCTTCCGCGGCATCGATTCGGAGGGAGTGCAAGCGTGGTGACGGCCAGAAGACTCACTGTCTACAGAAGCATCGTTCTCCGAAAAGTGTTGTTGATGGAGTGCTGAATAAACAAAGCAAAACGGGGCCTGAGCTGCAATACACAGGCTTGGGCTTGCTGCAACGAGTGTGAGCAAAAAGAGTTCCAAGTAAAACCGAACCCATGAACCCCTCCACCCGAAAGGGCCCTAGACTCCAGATCCTTGCGCAAACGCACACAAGAGGCACTTGCTATCCATGGGGAGGGTCTCGGTGAACCCCATTTTCTTTGCCTAGTAACCCTTACTTATAAGCCTTATATAGTATAAAACCCTTATCTGATCGAAGCCTTGTGTTCGTCCAGACATGGATAACTTGCGAAGGTTATTGAAATCACATGCATGACCACGTGGTTCTTTATACTATGCTATACTATACGGTAATGATAGCCGTCATGCGAAGTTTTCTATAACAGCACATACAGCTACAATGCCAAAAGGCCACCATCATCGTCACGTGCAACTGCGCACCTCATATTTTGTCTCCAGGGTGCCTGACCGTCGAGGACTTGCGCGTCTTGCGCCATAACTGCAGCCAGCGCGGCCTGACACCAAAGACTGCCCCAGGGTTTATAGGGTTTCGGCACGGATTTCAGGCACGACGACATTGGATCTTCCGTCATGGGTATCAGCTGGGCCTAGGATGCCATAAAGGACTATTCAAGCCCCCCAGCAGCGGGGGATGGGAAGTACCGGACAATCCCTGAAATCATCACGATTTCTAGTGAAACGGTGTGAAGTAATCCCTTCCCACTATTATTAAATACCACCCTAATAATAAAACTGCCGGCCCCCGGGATTTCGCGGTTTCGGGCCCGCAACTGAAAGTTAATTAAAAACATTAGGGGGGCCTAGGGATTGTATGCGTTTTAACAGAGCCAAGACTACAGTGGTACTAAACCAAAGGACCAGGGCTTTCGGGGCTAAGGGCTCAGGGCTTAAGATTTTAGGGTNNNTAGGGCTTACTTAAGGCTCTAGGGTTTAGGGTTTAAGGCTTTAGGGTGTAGGGTTTAGGGTTTAGGGTTTGGAGATTTAATACTTGGGGGGTTGTTATTCGGGTTTAGGGTTTAGGGTTCAGGGTTTAGGGTTTAGGGCTTAGGGGTTTAGGGTTTCACGGCTGCGTGGGAAGCGGTCGTGGTGTGTGACCGTGTGACCCCGAAACCCCCCCTAATATTAAAGCGAACCCCCAGATCCGAGTTTTAATATTAGGGCAGGGGGGGCGCTTTAATAATAGGGGGAAGGGATTACATAACTTCAAGGCACCTTAGACAATACATCCCGGCAAATAGGAAGCCGATCTTCAATAACACATCACAGCACTCATTAAAAGTCACAAGGGTTTAGGGCGCTAGGGATTCGTCGCCAAATAGGCAAGCCTCCTTAACATGTCATACCGTTCGCATAGAGAACGCATCCTCAACTGGGGCTTCCGGAGCATTGTGTGCTCCGAGGCTACCAGCGTAGAGATGCAAGGCTCTTTGCAAACGGGGAATGCGGGATTTAGGCCGGAGGTGCCAAGGTCGTGTTTTCAAGATCCATGCTTGGAGGTTTAGGGGGCGTTGCTGTTGCATTTAAGGCACGGTGGCTTTTTTGCAAGACTTGCAGCCTGCAACCAGTTCCGAAGACAAATACATGCCTCGTCTTCTTTTGTGTCTTCACCTTGGCCACATCCGCCGAGCATTCCAATGCACGGTTCTGAGGTGTGAAGACTAGAGAAGCTGTGAGATGACTGTGTCGCAATTGGATGAGCAACCGCTGTCCTACGGTTCGATCGAGCTCAAGCTTCTGACAAATCGTCTGCTTAGCACTAGCCCGGAACAGCGTACCCACCACACCACTGACTGGGGCAGCCACCGTCCGTTCCGGATCCTGGCAACGATGGCGCGCTTCGGCTCCGAACTAGCCGTATTACCGAGTCGGTGCTGCTCTGGCCCTTTCCCTCTCTCATCCTCGCCTCTCTGTCTCTCGCACAGCCGAGCCTTCCATCTCCTGATGGATCAGTGCAAGCACACCAACCTCAGCCACGTGGGAACTCCAGAGATAAACGAAACCGGCCCCATGGCCCATAACACAAGGCTCAAGTTGTCAGAGTCAGACACTTTTCAATGTCGGGAGATAAATGGCTACCTACGCAGCCACCTCGCTGGCTAGCTAGCTGGGCTGCTAGCAACCTAGCCACCAAGCCACCTACCTACCTACCTACCTACCTACCTACCTGCCTGCCTGCCTGCCTGCCTACCTAACTTCTTAATACATGCATGAAATAGGCTATGTATATGTATGCAAATTAATATGTCCACCCACACTCATTCCCGGAGGGCGCACGGCTCCAGGGTTTCATGCTGCATCTGCTTAAGGAGCTGCTTCCTCAAGTTGATTGGCATTGAACCATTGAGAGCCAAGCCAAGGGTGCGGCTTGTGCAGCTGGAGCCCAATCCCACGGTGCACAGCTGAGAATGGGACGGCCCAACTCTCCCCTTGCAGCCTTCTCACGGAAAGTTTGTGTCGAGGGGGGTGTGGGCGGGGGTCGCTCAATGTATTTTAGACCTCCACTTCAGGGGTCACAAGAGCTCGTAAGGTAAGTTCAACCTGTGGAGTATCTAGCCGTAAACCTCACTCTAAACTCTAAACCGACCAAAAAGAGAACATCTAAGACGCTGCAAGCGCTGACCCAGGTATGTGTTTTTGGCTTCGAGGCCTGTCCATCTGTTCAATGACCCTTTCCGTGGTCGAGGAGACGTCATGCAACAGCTCGACCTGCACCAAGCAACCAGGCTTGGGGAACAAGTTTCTGTGAATCCAGACACTGCCCTCGCGAGATTGGATTTGTGAGTGCGGCCGCGCCTAAAACTTGTCGACACGAAAAAACGCCTACCTCTACATGTTGCAGCCTGATACAGGGCTTGGTTATCTGTGTTTTAGGTACGATGTTCCGTGCATTCTGTGGTTGCGGAAGTGCAGGGTCTGTTGGGACTGTCTAGGCTTTACAGGGATCCAGTAGAAATTGGATACGGCTTTGCGAGATGGTTATGTAGCCAAAGGTGGTTGTTGTCGTAGGCATTCGGGTTTTGGTCGGGTATCCCTCTCAACCCTGTGAGATTTGCTCCAAATTAATGAGAAACTCCCGGGACAGATACAGCAAAACAAGACCGAAGGATCCCATCTTCACAGCCGGTGAACTCCAGAGAAGTCGCGACACACCCGTTTCGATTTGGAGCCGCGGCTTGGATTCACAACATCAGACACACATCAAACTATCCGCAACCTTATGCCCGATCTCCAAGATATTGACGGAAAGAAGGGAAGGATCTGGCCTGCACAATTGAAAGAAGATCCAACCGGAAAACTCAAATTGACAACGATGCCGACATGCAAAGCCCGCGCCCCCTTTCCGGTGCACCATGTTAACAACATTAATAACTGTCAACGAAAACAGTAGGTCCACACTGCCCCCCCCCCACCATCAGCAGCATTGCTCCAGATGTTTATTGAACCAACATCTTGAAACTCACCTCCCAAGTGCAGCTTCCACGCCCCAAATGTTCGGGAATCCCAATCCTCTCAAACTCGAATCAGCACAACGGTTCTGCCCTACATCCTAAATCCACAGCCCTAGCTTCCAAACTCAAAACCTTATGAACTCTTAACCGTACCCTAAAACTTCTGGAACCGAACAACATCTAACAACCTGAATCCTAAGCCCCCTAGGTCTCTTAAGGGCCATGCCTCGGCCTCTTGTTGAGCGAGGGCGTGACCTCGACTTCGAAAGTGAAAGGGCAGGGCCTAGGGGCCTATTCTCTTTTAGGGTTTCTACTGTAGGGGTTTCGAGCTTAGGGCTTGGAGAGCCTAGGGGTTACGGGTTTCGGAGGGGGCTATGCTCTGTGGGGATGGCAGCTGCAGTGTTTATTGTGGCGTTTCAGGGTTGGAGAGGTATCACGATGAGCGTCAAGAATCTGAAGTCTTGGTTTCGGCATCGTTGCTTCGAGGCTTGAGATTGGCGAGTGGCTACGGCCTGCTATGCTATCTTGGCATGGAGTCTGGCACGCAGCTCGCCATCAACTTGCCGCCGCAGCCCATCAGTTTCAACTCTGATGAGGTGCTCATACTCATAGTGAGCATTGCTCAATTTCCCATCGAATAAACTTCTCTATAGCCTTGGCCGTGGAAGCAACACTTATCACGACCATGGTCAGCAACTCACTGGACGGAGGCTATTGCAGCTGCTTACAATGCACTTGGGCCCCCAGACGTTAAGCCCAAAGCCTTGTGCTTTGATGTTCCACATATCGCGATGTGTCGGGGATGTTGGGGATCGTGAAAGGCCCCGCACCGTCGCCGCAGTAGTCCGTAGCAAGCTCGATATCCTCCGAGCCATATGATCTCACGGAAACTGACATCGCTACCGCTGTTCGATATGGACATGTTTCACCTTCCTCCGTTCAACGCTGCCTGGCCA